ATTTATATGGTTTAACTGGTACATTAGGTGGGAAAAGTTCACAAAAATTTATAAAAAAAGTTTATAATATTGATGTTGTTATTGTACCAAAATATATTGATAGTATATTTGATATTTATCCAAGTAAATAATATTTAAACTAAATGAATATTTTTCTAAAATAATCATCGTTTATTTTAGATCAATTTGCTGATAATCGTCAATTATGGTTAGAAAAAATTCGTATTGAATGTCATACTATAGCTATTACTAATCATCGAGCTGTTTTAATTATTTGTCAAACTATACGTGATGCAAATGATGTTCAATCTTATTTAAGTTCTCAACATTCAAATATAAAACTTTATCTTCGAAGTGATGAACATACAAAACCAGAAGAAGTTCATCCAGATGATGTAATTGTTGCAACAAATTTAGCTGGACGTGGAACTGATTTAAAAGTTCTAACATCTGTTGTTGATTGTGGTGGTTTACATGTTATTGTTACATTTATGCCAAATAATTCACGTGTTGAACAACAAGCATTTGGTCGAGCTGGACGACAAGGACAACCAGGTTCGGCAAGATTAATTATTTATAAAGAATATAATAATATGATATCATATAGTTCGGAGGATGAAATTCAATTAGTAGAATATTGGAAAAAAAAGAGAGATAAATTTGAAAAAAATAATATGAATGAAGCAATTAAAGAAGTCAATCGAATTGAAGCAAAAGATCGTCTTCTTGTTCGTTTTCTTGATGTTATTCATTCACGTAAAGATGATCTTCCATTTACTGACGATATATTACAACCAGGTTTTAGTTCACTTCGTGAATTATGGAGTTCATTTTGTGATCAAGATGCATCAACAGCTGATGAACGTTTTCCAGTATTTGCAAATGAAATCGAACAAAAACTTGAATTAGCTATTACAACTATGAAAGAAACATTATCACAACCATATACTTCATTTCCTTGGCACAGAGATAATGAACAATATCGTACTGTACATACAGCTAATGCAACATGTGATGCTCTTCGTCAATTGATTGTTCATCCAAAATATTTAATTATGGCAGGTATTAAAATGTTATGTATGAAAAATGTATTTGAAAGAGAAAAGCGTGCATTAACATTATATCAACAAGCAATAAATCTTGATAAACAAGATTTTATTCTTCATTATAATATGGTATTATGTTATATAAAAAATGATCAAAATTCAATAAATGAAGCAATAAAAGAATTGAATATAGCTGTAACATTACTTAGTAATGAAATTGAACGACGTAAATTTCTTCAAATTCATGATGAATTATCAACACAAACATCTGTTGATAGATCATGTATAGCTGAACTTGTCTATCTTGAACATGTTCATTCAATACTTAGAGCTAGTCAAGTTCAATTATGTAAATTTGATGAAGATAAACATGAAATAACCTGTCGCAGTGAAAGTTGGGAAGTAACATTATCAAGTTTTGAGAATACACATTTTAACGCAATTAAAAAAGAAATTTATGCTGAATACCAAGAATGGTATAGTGAAGGTTTAGTGTGGGCATTTATATTTGAAATTGAACCTAAACGATGCTGGTGGAAAACAATATTTATTTTTGTGATGGGTATTGGACAAATTGTTGGTGGAGCCTTTTTATGTCTTGCTGATCAATGGAAGTTAGGCACATTAATGGTTCTTAATGAAACGTTTGATATTTATACAGCTGTTGGTAAATAAATTAAGATTAAAAAAAGTTTTTAGAAAAACAATATATTTTTATTTTTATTTTAGCTACAAAAATTACTAATGATTTTGATCTTGTCAATTATTTTCAACAAAAAGTAATTACTTATGGACTAAATTTATTATGTATAACATCAACTGTAAGTAATCTTGTTAGACCAATTTCATCAATAGAACACGTTGGAATAGTTGGTGTTGCCGCTGATAGTATTCATCAATTATGTACAAAAGGATTGGATATTAAGACATTAACAAATATTACTTTAAATAGTATGAAGATAGCTGATATTAATAAACATGTAATTGATTTTCTTAAACAAATACCAGAGCAATATAAAAATATTGAAGCTTTAATTTCGAGTGATTTCGATCAGATAATAAATCAAGGTACATCATTGACAGTTAATCAATTTTTAGGTATGGTAGATAATGATTCCTTATTTGGAGGAAAAACAAAAGAAATATTTCGAATTGTTCAACGTCATACACCACGCATGAAATATATTTATGATGGAAATAATAAAGCGTTGGTTTCTTATGCACTTAATACGATGGATGATATATTACCTAATGTACCAATAATAGATACATTATGTTTAGCATTACCATATACTCTTAATAGTATTGTCAAAAAAGAAATCTTTGATATTAATAGTTTGTTTCTATCAATCATTAGACAAATTAATTCTAAGAATGAAGAACATAAATTAGAAACATTAGATATTGTACAAAAAGTTTTATATTCATCAGATAAATGGACTACATTTGAGCAAAATAAAGATAAACTAAATACTGAAATTTGTCAATTACTTCATCCTGCTATCGAACGTGAACAAAAACTTCTTGATGAATATCAACAAATAATGAATAATCCTCAAGTTCTTGGTGGATATTGTCAAATCTTTAAATTTTCTAATGTTACCTTTGGTACAATACAAAATAAACCAAGAAATTTACGAAGAGAAATTCGAAGAGAACAAACAAATAATCGTTTATTAACACAAACTATAATTGCATTTGTTGATGAATTAAGTAAAAATTCAAGTAACACAACAAACAGTTCAAAAAAAGTAACAGATGTATTTAAAGAATATCTTAGCGATAGCATTATTCGACCTATCATCGAGAATGCATGTGAACAAGAAATGGATACAAATGATGAAAAACTCACAGATAAATTTACAAAAGCATTGATATATATACAAGAACAGCAAAAAGAATTCGATAGAACTTAAGTTACAGAAATGTTTATTTTTTTTTGTACAAAATAATGTTGCTTCGATTAAGAAGTTCGTATAAATGAAGAGTTAAATAAAAAGAAAAGAATACTTGATCTTCTTCCAAAAACAAATTTAATGATACAAACTATTACCCATTTCAAAATAAAATGCACTCGGTTGTTTGTTGAATAAATCGACAACGCTGATAGCTATCGAGCTCGGGTTTCCGTCATTAGGAAGAGCATGAGTGAAGATACAAGTCTATCTGAGAATCAAAATCCTTGAAAACTTTTCTAGAGGGTTCTAAGAATTTTTTAGAAAATTACTGTCTGATTCACTTGATTAGGGTGTATTTTCAAGTGAAATTGAAAATCCAACATCTCAAGAAAGGAATATTGTTTTTGGCTGAAAATTTTAGGGTATCCTAAGGGTCATTAGATGTATATATGAGCAAATCTTCAAGTCAAAATTCCGTAATTTCATTTTCCGGTCAATACCTAAGGTAGAGTCAAAAATTCAGTAAAATGGTCTTATGTTTTTCAGAAAAGGTCGAAATCGTCTAAAAATTTCGGAGTTTACAAAGCAGATATTGGAGTACAATGTGACTAAATTGAAACTGAAAATATACCTAATCAAGCGAACCAAACAGTAATTTTTCAAAAAATTCTTAGAACTCTCTAGAACAGTTTTCAAGGATTTTGATTCTCGGATAGACTTGTATCCCCATTCATGTTCTTCCTAATGACGAAAACTCGAGCTCGATAGCTATTAGCGTTGCCGATTTATTCAACAAACAATCGAGTGCATTTTATTTTGAAATGGATAGTAATAATGTAACATATTTAGATTCTATAATTTCTGAAATTATAAGATATTTGCAACTCAATGAACTGATAGGACTCCAAAAGGATGTGGGCACTAGTGTATGCTTACTCAAACTCGACTCCTCTAGTCGCTACGTGCAAATAATCTGTACCAAAATGTATTTCTCTTCTGCTAAATATTTTACTATCTTGTAGTACACCAATTCCCCTTCATGGATCGTTGCCGTGCCGCGGTGAAGGGGCTTGTGTATTCCAAGGAGGCTGCGAGCTATACCGTAGGGAGAGCATATTCCCAGAAGGGTCACCCATGACGGACATATCACAGCTGAGGGATCAGACCAAATTCGATCCACTGGAGAAAGAAATGGCAACCCACTCCAGAATTCTGCCAAGAAAACCAATATGGACAATTACAACCACAGCAATCTCAACATAGTACCGGAAGATGGGCCCCTCAGGTTGAAAGGTACTCAAAAAGCTACTGGGGAAGAGCAAAGTATCAGTACGAGTAGCCATGGAATTGATGATGTGGCTGGATCAAAGCCGAAAGGATGTCCAGCTATTGATGTGTCCAGGGTCGAAAAAAAGTGTGATGCTGCAAGGAATTACATACAATTGGAACATGGAATGTTAGAACAATGAGGGCGGGGTGTGTGGGTGTGGGTTTTCTTTTTGTTCCAAACCACCATTCAAAACCCACCATACACCCATGCTGTGCCCCCACCCACATTCTCACCTACACCCACACCCACACTCACATCCTCAAGATAGTCATCTGTCGAAGAACGTACTTCCAATGAGGGCACACTTTTTCACCATTTGTTGTAGTCGAAATATGCAAGCCTTCTTCTTTTCTGTCTTATATTTTTTCTTCGTAAGAAAAAAAACCATGAATTTAATGGGTTTCTTTCTACCTTTTATTTACACAACTCGTCACTTCTCACAATGTGTCTTTTGTACAAAGCAACAAAAACAAAAGTACCATCGAATTGTGAGTAAAACATTTGTGAGTAGCATAGAGCAATTTCTCGAAGTCGCCCATCGTTTTTTTTTGCAAAGATCAGGCATTTACTTTGACTTATAACTGCCATAAGATATATATTGTTTCGGGTTTGATGCTAATAAAAGGGCATCAACAGCTATGATTCTAGTTCTTACTATCACGAGAAGTTTTGTTAGAATACTATTCAAGTCAGTTACGGCCATTTTGTTTATTAGCTTTATAGCTCGAATGAGATTTCAGTTTTTGGAAGGTATGAATCAAAAATATTAGAACTTTTAGACACACTCATGAAAATACCGAATATTGAAATCCTTTCATTTGTAGACTTAAA